CCTCTGACCTCCACACATGTCCTCTGACCTCCATACGTGTCCTCTGACCTCCATAGTGTCCTCTGACCTCCACACGTGTCCTCTGACCTCCACACGTGTCCTATGACCTCCACACGTGTCCTCTGACCTCCACACGTGTCCTCTGACCTCCACACGTGTCCTCTGACCTCCACACGTGTCCTCTGACCTCCATACGTGTCCTCTGACCTCCATAGTGTCCTCTGACCTCCATACGTGTCCTCTGACCTCCACACGTGTCCTCTGACATCCATACGTGTTCTCTGACCTCCATACGTGTCCTCTGACCTCCACATGTGTCCTCTGACCTCCACACGTGTCCTCTGACCTCCACACGTGTCCTCTGACCTCCATACGTGTCCTCTGACCTCCATAGTGTCCTCTGACCTCCATACGTGTCCTCTGACCTCCATACGTGTGCTGTGGAATGCACGAGCCAGCAAACAGCCCCCACAATAACCAATCAATCATCACAAGACAACCCCTCCAACAGATCAGTTGTATAGCCCTGATCCCCTGATCACTATTAGCACCCCCAAAGTGTCACTCACCTGTCAATCACTGACTCGGATCCTAGCAGCACACAACTTTGTTCAGTGGAGCCACACACACAGGGTCACGTGCATATCTGACCTTTATCCCACAAATGTACGCTCTAGATTTCACATGTTTTCCCATATACATTTAGTTCTGGTGGGGTTTTCATTGCTTATATACCATGACAGATTTACCCTCTCTTCTACTGATTTATATTTAGATCGATTCCATTTGGTTTTTTTTTTTTTCTTTTCAGGGCTGGTGGGGTTATTGGTGATAAGGCTTCCAAGTACATCTTATGCAGATCCTGCTTGGGAGAGACCCGCATGTCAATTCCTTTTGGTTGTGTACCTAGAAGAAAACTTACTGGGTCATAAAGGAACATCCCAAAGTGGCTGTATCATTTTACAGCCTGAGATGCATGAGAGCCCCACAGACAGTTACACCCATCAGATCTATTAGTTTTGGCCAATCGAAGGATGTATGTTGGCATTGCATTTGTTGATGTGCTTTCACAGTAAAACATAAGTATAATAATATTTTAAGTATAATAAACAAAAAAATATAATAATACATTTAATATGTTATCAGATATTTTGGACATATTTTTATGATATAATTGTTCAAATTTACGCATTCCCTCTTTTTTGATAAATATAAATGCATTTTTCTTGCTGTTTGGAAATGCTTTCTTATTGTTAGTTGGGTGTGGGTTATTTATGTATTTTTCTTCTCAGTCTGTGGTGTGCCGTCTTCTTGTCTAGTGTCGCATTTTAAGAGGTTTAATAGTAACAGGTGCCAATTCCTTGACTCTAGATTTTTGGGAGGGGACGCTTTCCCTGGATTTATATAGTCTCACAACTGAATGCACCCTTTGCCTGGATCTGATATTCTAGACTGAAGATTTTTGTTTATTTGTTTGCTTGTTTTGTTTTTACCTCGGTTCTTCAAGACAGAGTTTCTCTGTGTAGCCCTGGATGTCCTGAAATTCTCTGTAGACCAGACTGGCCTCGAACTCAGAGATCTGCCTGCCTTTGCCTCCTGAGTGCTGGAACTAACTACATGCGCCACCACCGCCCAGCTAGACTGAAGCGTTTAGATGTCCTATTTACAGTGCTTCTCCTGTGGAGTGTGATGTCAGTATGGCATGGCTTCTTTTACAGATGGCCACTGTTTCCTTCTGAATGTTTAAAACCTTTATTTCATTTTTTATGTCGCTTTTACAGGGGAAACCTTAACATTTGTTAACATGGATAAGGTACCAATGACAGACCAAGGAAATGATTCTATAAGCATAACTGGATGGACCCATGGGTTTGCTGGAGTTACTTACAGGGCATGGCTGACGGCTGCTCTACTGCCCAGGCCTGGGTGAGCACTCACAGAATTGCAGTCCTGCAGGTTCCCTGCAGTTCCCTGCACTGCTTGCAGGCCGCTGGCAGTCGGCTACCTTGTTAGGGTTTCTAATACTGTGAAGAGACACCATGACCACAGCAAACCTTATAAATAAAAGGTTTAAGGGGGCTGGCTCACAATTTCAGGGGCTTAGTCCATTATCCTCTTGGTGAGAAACATAGCAGTGTGCAGGCAAACATGATTCTGGAGAAGGAGCTGAGAGTCCGACATCTTTATCCGTAGGTTACAGGAAGTAAACTGAGACACTTCCTCCAACCATGCCATACTATTCCAACAATGCTCCGTCTCCTAATGTGCTACTCCCTGAGTCTATCAGGACTGTTTCTATTCAGTCCACCACACCGGCCTCTTCTCCCCACAGTTACAACTGCTTACGTAATTGGGGTCAGGTCTTCTGAATCTAGTCACTTTCTTGAGTCTCCTCCTTCACTGGCAGATGCTTCAGTTCTGAGAAAGTGGCTGGAAGGCTGTCTTTGTTCTCTTTAACTTCACTAAGGACGGTGTGGACTCTATGATCTTTCTGATGTTCATCTCCTCAAGATGTATTACTTCTCCCCGTAGTTGGACACGCTGTTTCAGTGTGGCTGCTTTTCTCTCCCTCTCTCTATTCCAACTTTTCATGTATTTGTTTCCAGGGCTGCTTGCTGGGAGTACTGCACAAGCTGATTTTCTACTACATCCATTCAGAAGCTTTATTCCTCCTGCAATGTGTGTCATGTACTTATTTTTTTATTATTTCAAATATTTTTGTACCCAGTATTTTTCTTTATGTGTGTTTCTGTTACATATATTTTGACATCTTTGTTTCTTTTAAGATTTTTTTTTGTATCTACCTTAAAATCTAGCCCATGTCTCCCCATTTTCACCTCCAGATGCTCAGTGTAGGTTTTTTCTCTTGTGTTGCTATTTTGACTGTGAGTCAGATTCTTTCTCAGGTCTTAGGGAATACCAGGTACCCAGAGTACCTGGTGACCATGACTTGATTTTTTCACCAAGTGGCTTTTTTGGTTAGAATGTTGACTTTAGTGTAACGGAAATAGCACAGGCAGATCTGCCTGACAGGGCCATGACCCCCCTGCTCAGGGATGGGAGGAACAGGAAATTGGGGAACACAGATTTAACCTTCTAAGGATAAGAGGGAACAGAAAAATAATGAAATGTTCTGACGTATGGTCCATATGGGCTGTGACCAGATCCAGTGGCGCCTCTAAGCATGATCTTCTTGCTGTGTAATAACCCTTGATATGCCTTGGCTCTGTTGCTCAAAACCACAGTAACTGTATCTTGACTGCATGGGTGCCTTCCTTGTGCATGTGTGTGTGTGTGTGCAACAATTGCAACCCTTCTTCTGATTGTTTCATGCTCCTCCTCAAGACTCTAGCCAAGCCATCAGTTTATGTTTAGGTAACCATCTGGATATTGAATATTTTTTTTAAGTGAAAGGTAGTTATTTTTCTAAATTCAGGAGGCAAATAAAGGGCAAGGTAACAATGTGGAGTGGCGCCTCTTCTTCAGGTCCCAGCCACGTTATTTTCCATTTTATCTTTTATTTCTGTTGCTCAGCCAATCTCATCTCTTTTTTTCTATCTCCTTTTCATGTTTTTTTTTTTCTTGGTGTTCCTACTGATTTAACTCAGGGCCTCACACATACGAGGCAATGACGGTACCACTGAGCTATATACCCAGACCTTGTTTTGTTTTTGCTTTAGATAGGGTATCTATGTAACTCAGGCTGGCCTTGAATTCACAATCCTCCTGTCTTAGCCTTTCAAGTGATGACTTTTTTTTTATTGAGAAAAGGAGAAAAAGAAAAAAAAAACAAGTTTCCACCTCCTCCCAGCCTCCCATTTCCCTCCCCCTCCTCCCACCCTTCTCCCTCTCCCCCAACTCCTTTCCCCCTCCCTCTCCAGTCCAAAGAGCAGTCAGGGTTTTCTGCCCTGTGGTAAGTCCTAGGTCCTCCCCCCTCTGTCCATATCTAGGAAGGTGAACATCCAAACTGGCTAGGCTCCCACAAAGCCAGCACATTAAGCAGGATCAAAACCCCGTGCCATTGTCCTTTGCTTCTCATCAGCCCTCATTGTTCGCCATGTTCAGAGAGTCCGGTTTTATCCCATGCTTTTTCAGTCACAGTCCAGCTGGCCTTGGTGAGCTCCCACTAGATCAGCCCCACTGTCTCAGTGGGTGGGTGCACCCCTCGTGGTCCCGACTTCTTTGCTCATGTTCTCCCTCCTTCTGCTCCTCATTGGGACCTTGGGAGCTCAGTCCAGTGCTCCAGTGTGGGTCTCTGTCTCTATCTCCATCCATCACCAGATGAAGGTTCTATGATGATATGCAAGATATTCGTCATTATTGCTCTAGGATAGGGTCATTTCAGGTTCCCTATCCTCAGCTGCCCCAGGAACTAACTGGGGACCTCGGCTTGGGCACCTAGGAGCCCCTCTAGGGTCAGGTCTATTGCCAACCCTAAAGTGGCTCCCTTTCAAGTGATGACTTTGCAGTTACTTTGCTTTTATTCCCCTAGGAAATCCACAAGCAAAGTCCCCTTACTTCTTTAGCATCCTTTCTGAGGAGGGAACAGTCCTCATTTCCTTACTAGGCCTGCTGGAGAATCCCCTACCCCCTGCTACCTCATGTAATATAGCGCTGAAAGTCAGCCATGGCTATGGTACCCATCCCTGCTGCCTTTGGACATGGCGTCCCCTATACACACCACGAAAGTGTCTCACTCTCTCCTCACTATTTGAACTGTACATTTTATTCTTTGCCACTAGGTAGATGGAAGAATAGTGGCTTGCTGTATGATGTAGTTAGTGTCCTTGGGAAGCCTCAAGATTTCACTCCTTCGAATTCCATTTTGGATAGTGACATCCTGGATTAGATGGCCTTTTGTCATGGCTGTGTGATTATAAACTCTATTGGTATTCAAGAATTTTTTAAAATCAGTTTTTACACCATGGCTCTGTGTCAGAGAACATCTACTGCACACAGGAAAGGCCCGGTGTAGGTAACAATTGCCACCCTCTCTTCAGAAAAATATCGCAGAAGCCTACCAGCTCACCAAAAAGCCTCTGAAGTCAATGGTGAAGACAATTAGAATTGCCATTCCTGAGAACAAAGCTGTCCACAACTACAGTATCCAGACCCTGAACTCCACAGAGCTTGCAAAGAAGGAGATGTTCAAAGAGATGGCCAAGGTGAGTGGCAAGGCAGCTGACACCCTCTCAGCGACTGTTCTACTGCTGAGGAGAGACACCATGACCAAGGCAACTCTTAGAAAAGAAAGCAGTTAACTGGGGGTGAGAGTTAGTCCATGATCACCATGGTGAGGGGAGAAGGCAGACGTGGTGCTGGAGCAGTAGCTGAGAGCTTTACATCCTGATCCCCAGGCAGCCTCAGGCAGAGGGAAAGAGTCATTGAGCTTGGTGTAGTCTTCTGAAACCTCTAAGTACAACTCCCAGTGGCACACCTCCTCCAACAAGGCCACACCTCCTAATCCTTCCTAAACAGTTTCACTCCCTGACGGCTAAACATTCAAATATCTGAGCCTATGGGAACCATTTTCATTCAAACCACCACACATAGGAGCTTTTCTTTCTCTGGCCAAGAGTAATCGGGGGCCTTGGGTGAAGGGACATCTAGGGACAGGGGGCAAGGGATCAGCGGATGGGAGAAGAGTGTGACTTCACTGTGCTCTAGAGAGCCAGAGGCACTCAGTACATGCTCAGATACATTTGGTTGAAAACAGTGCAGAAGCTGTTCTTCTGGGGAGCACTGTGTTGCTATGGAGACATCTGTTAGCCCTAAGAAAAATCCTTGGTTTAGGCTTTTAGCATCCATTACACGTAGAAAATGGATTTCTCTGTCAAAGGAGGCAATGATGTGACGCTCGTAGGGCTGTCTTAATGTTTAGTTACTGTGAGTGCATTATAGCTTCAGGATCCGGTGTCCCCAGATGCTTCTGATACCTGCGTGGAACCCTGAGGGTGACTCGGCCTTATCCAATACTGTTCTTAGCAGATGTGTGTCTCCGCACTTCTAGGAGCCAAGGAAGAGATTCACATATTCCCAGAGATACTTCTCAGCAATGGTGGAGCCTCGGGACCCAAAGGAAGAGGAGAAGAAAGCCCAGAAGAAGTCCCGCCAGGCCTGGCTCACAGCTGGTGGGTTCCAAGTGTGGGGTCTTCAGAGCACCACTGGAAGCTTCCAGCAGGACCTTAGACTGCCACCCATCAGAAAGATAAATGAGGTCTTCAGGAAGGAGTAGGGCCTCATGTGGGGGGTTCTGAGGAATGGCCTCCCATCTCACTCACTCACTGCTCTTATTATTTAGGAATGGCAAGAAAACGCTCTGTTCGCTAACGTGCTGAAGCCCGTGCTGGATCGGGATAGGTGGAGCTGGAGCCAGCGACACGTGGACATTGACCTGTACAAGAAGCCACCACTTTACCTTGAACTGCCCCCTCTTCCAGCTCCGAAGTCTGCAACTGGTAAGATAGCTCCTCCCTGAGCCACGCCTCCGGGTACTTCAGAACGCTGGCCGTCTTGGCTCTCTAGCACCATCTGCTGGTTTTGCATCACAGCAGTACATTCTAGGTTAGGAAAGCAGGGTTCAGGATGGGGCTGGTATAGAGCCTGATGTGGGGCTGGAACTCAGGATCCCTGGCCTCTGGGCTGGGTGTGGGTGCTGGTTGCATGCTTTTAGACAAGTCTCTTTGTTTTGGGCTGGTTTCTGGGCTCTAAAATGGGAGATTGGAAGGCACTTAGTGGCTTTTGGAGCTTTTCAGCCTTCCCAGCTGAGCTCCTCTGGTCTGTTTGCCTGTGAAGACAAGAAGTTCAGGTTAGGACTTAGCTACTCCCATCAAGTTCAAGAAAAACTTGACTATACAGAGGAGGACCAAACTAGTGGCTAGGCCTCTGAAATCCAGATGGATGAGTGGACTGCCCGGTGCAACAGCCCATACAAGCCCACACATCCCACGGGGCTGCTGAGAACAGGGGTCTCTTGACCTTTCTCAAGTTCCCTTCTGGAGAGTATTTTTCCATGCAGCTTCTTGTTCCTGGTTCTATAAAGATGTGTACTGTCTGCTTATACAAAGTCCCCCCTTTGTTAATTTTTAGTCAACTAACTAATATCTGGGAAATTATTTTCCAAGCCACAGCCCTGTCAGGGTGCTCAGGTCTCACAGTGTCAACCTCCCTGTGTCCATTCCAAGAATCCAAGGTAAGACGGGTGTTGGTGGCACACACCTTTAATCCCAGCACTCAGGAGGCAGAGGCAGGCGAATCTCTGTGAGTTCGAGGCCAGCCTGGTCTACAAGAGCTAGATCCAAAGCTACAGAGAAACCCTGTCTCAAAAAACCAGAAAAAAATAATCCAAGGGTAAGCAGAGAAATAGAGTTTCATCTCCTTTGCTCCCAAGAGCCCCAAACCAGGCAGAAACTTAAAATCGGGCAATCAAAGAATACTAGGACTCTGAGTGACCTGCGTATCAGCAGAGAAGAACCTGGAGAAGACCAGCTTGCCAGTGACACAAGACCATGAAGGACAATCCTTGCAGAGAAACGAGAAGCCTATATGAGACTAGGCACACACAATCCAAGATGGTGCTGTTTCCCCCTGACGGGGAAGCATTACAGATGAGAACCACTGTTGTGAGCATCGGGGCTGGAGGGAGTGCACCATCCACGGGCTCTAGGGCCTCATCTCCCATAGCGAGACCAAAGGGCCCAGAAACCATCAACAGGGGGTGGGGGTGGGTTTAGGGTCATGTGTGAAAGGCTGGTTCAGAGGAGTAACAGGACCGGAACATGAAGTCTAAAAGGGACACAATTTTTGATCTTTTATATTCTTTTGTTGATAAGTGGTTCTGACACAGTTGTAAGTGCATTTTGTTTGGAATTCCAGTGAGTAATATGGACACCGCTATACAGCTATTTCTGATTTTGTGCTCTAGTAGAAATGACTGCCCCTGCCTCAGTTCCCTGTGAGCCTTAAATGACAGTATGATAGCTGTAGGGCCTTAGGTCAAACCTAGCTGTGGCTTCTTGAGGGAGGAGGAAGCCCTTGAGTACCTGCAAGTGAGAGGAGGTCTGCTGAGTGGTTCCAAGTTCTCCACTTCATCTTTCTGTTTTTAGTCAGGGTTTCACATTGCCTAGGCTGGCCTTGAACTTGCTGTGTAGCTGAGGCTGACTTTGTACACCTGATCCTCATGCCTCTACCTCTCGAGTGCAGGGATTACAGGCATGGGCCAATCCCTGGCTGCTTTGTGCAAAGGCTGATGTTACCATGGCCTCTGACAGAGTACAGGGACACATCCTTCACGCTGTCCTTTCTAGAGGAAGACACAGATGAGGGTGTGCTTCCAATGGACCATCTAGGACAAGTTTTTTCTTCAAGGAAAGAAACAGGTGTGATCTTTCTGCACTGCAATCATACTCATGGACTGAAGGGGGCGTGTTTTCAACAGTCCCCCGACCCCCATCCCAGCAAGCAGCCTCCAAGTGAACTCTCCTCGAAACCCCAAGATCTTATGAAAGAAGAGGGGGGAAAGCCCTGAACAGTAATTGGACCCTGGAGAGAGAAGCCATTTTGTTATCACTTGTGGCATGACAGAGTCCCCTAGGCCATGTTGTACCTTATCTGGATTCCAGAGTAGCGGCAAACCACGTTTTTCTCTTCTCAGTCGGGCCTGGTACCCTCCCCATTATTACTGACAATAGGGCAGAGCCATGCCAGCCACTAAGTCAAGCAGACCCTGGATACACTTTTTAAAATACAGCCAGGGGCTATGGATGAGGAAGAACACTCCAGATAGAGATGTGGTCCCAAAGTCCCATATTCCCCTTGGACAAGACCTGTACCTTCTGCAGAAAGTAGCAAGTTCACATAAACTGAAGTTCAGGGGTTAATGAAAAGGCGAAGGGCCCATCTTCTACCTTAGTGGCCTCTGCTGGGCAGACATCAGCAGGGTCTACAGAGGGGATTTCCATCTGTAGCAGTGGTTCTCAACATGTGGGTCACAACCCCCCAAACCATTGGAAAACACAGATATTTACATTACGATTCATAACGGTAGCAAAATTACAGTTAATGAAGTAGCAACAAAAATAATTTTATGGTTGGAGTCACCATGGCTGTGGTGTGCTAAACACGTCTGTGTTAAGGGTCGCAGCATTAGGAAGGTTGAAAACCACTGGTCTATAGAGGTGGGCTTGAGCTTCTTGGCCTCACTGTGTGGCCACGACTGCTCTCCTGGCAATGAGCTCTGGGAGCAGGTCTGGAGCAGCCTCCACAGGTCGTGCCTGGACTCGAGCTCTCTGCCCTCTAGTGTGCCACCTCACTCACACTTGTCTGGCTGGGACACAGAGAAGAGATTCTGGAAGCAGCCTTCCCTCTGGACACGGGCTGAGGTCAGAAAGGATGAGCACTGGGTACTCTGACGATGGCTTCTGAACACAGGGCACAGTTGCTGGGTCAGAGTGCTGGGCTCACAAGATACATAATACCCCGACAGAGCTTCCTTTGCCTCAAGGAACAAGTTGCTTAACATCTGTGAGGCATTTCCTACTCTGAGGTGGGCGCCTGTTGGCTCTTATGGGATGATCCGTGAAGAGCCTGCTACACCATAGGTGCTAGAGACTGCTTGGCCTCCTGGGCAGGGTGAGGAACATACAGACAAGCCATGGGTTTGCGTGATTGGTTCATGGGTCCGCCACTCACCCTGTCTTCTTTCAGGTAGGAGACAGAAGGCAAGCATCCAGTCTTCTGAACAGCGCCAATACAGTCAAGACCCAGAAAACACACCTAGTTCCCATGAAAGTCTCCCTGTGAATCTTCAAGACTTCATCTCTGTCAGTGACCATCAACCGGTACTACGGACCCTGTCACAGGTAGCCCCTACTTCCTGTGAATCTTTGATGGCAACACATCACCCGAGCTCTTCCTTTCCCAGCCGCTGGTTTCATTAAAGTGTAAATGAAGGAAGGACTCAACCCAGGCATCAACACCCTGTGCAAATGTACTCCGGTTCCAAGAGCAAGCTGTTCAGTGTGTCTGGTCTGTTTTTTCAGATGGGTCCATATGGGGCTCCCTGGTGATCATGGTTCCAGAGCCCAGAGTGGATGGAGCAACTGGCCTGGGATACATGGCTTTTAAGCCCTGTAAGTGGATGAGGACGTTGGTCACCCACTTCAGTACCACCCGTTTCTCCACAGTGATCTGGAGATGCTCAGAGCGGACACCTGCTCCCATCCGTGGCCCTCCCAGACCTACACCTTTGCTGTTTCAGTCACCCTGTGATCTTCAGCAGCTTGGGACCAAGGGCCCCTTTTCCTCGGTGTAGGGGAGTCTCATGTCAGTTGCCTCACGTTTCCCCTCCTTTATGTGGCAGTTGTCAAGGCAAGACTGAGACCCAGAAATCTGCCTAAAATCCGAGGCCATCACTCAGCTGGCTCAGTGCTACCTTCAGTAACAAGATCCCTATAGGCAGCCCCTCCTACATCTAGCTGCTGGGGTTCCTCTTTATTCCAGGGAGCGTTGCTCTACCAGTAGACGTTCACAGAAGCCTCAACCTGCAGGGCTCCCATGCAGGTGCTGCAGGTCAACTGCTCCAACCCATTGCGATCAAGGTTTCTGTTGTAGGTGGGCAGTGAAGGACGTTAGGCACAAATAGTCCCGTGGCTGTTGGTGGGCAGGTGCTGTGGGTACTGTTTCCCAGGCCAGCAGGTCACACTTATTTTCCAAAACGGAATAGCAACTTCTCAACAGTTTGGCAAAATTAATACACCTTCACTCCCAGCTTGCTCACACTGTCCTTACAGGACAGAAAACAGATCTCTCCTAGTTCACCCCCTTGACATGGCTGGGGCCCTAGGAAGACAGGGAAGAGATGGAGTGGGCACTAACGTGCTCTCCAACGGTCCCTGGTGAAGTCTAGAGGTTAGCCAACCCCCCCCTCCTGTAATAGAAATACCAGAAGGGAGTCCAAATGTGTGTGGCACGAGTGCTGTGCCTTCTCACCCCAAGATGGAGGTTTACAGACAAGATGGCCTCTCACTCCAGGCCTGTGATCCATCCTAGCAAGTCCCAAAGCCTCCAGGCTATGGTTTCTGGGGTCACTTTGCCTCCTTTAAGCTCACTGCAGGAAGTTCACAGTGCTGTGACTTAAGGCCTGGCAGCATGGAGCTCTGTCTTCGCCTGTGGGTGGGCACGTGGGTTCTTGTGTGTAGCATGCTTCTCTTGGCCTGTCGGGGAGCGACCAGCCGTGTGGGATATATGGGGCATATCTGTATCAGGGAGCGACCAGCCGTGTGGGATATATGGGGCATATCTGTATCAGGGAGCGACCAGCCGTGTGGGATATATGGGGCATATCTGTATCAGGGAGCGACCAGCCGTGTGGGATATATGGGGCATATCTGTATCAGGGAGCGACCAGCCGTGTGGGATATATGGGGCATATCTGGAACAAAAAGCAGTCAGTGAGGCCTTCCGCTGGGGAAGCAGCCTTGGGACAAAACCAGAGCACGAGGATGTCTGTCGTTCTATACCAGCTGCGCAGCTCACCCCCCTCCATGTTTAAGTCTCTGACAGCTGCATGCTCCATGACAATTGTTGAATCAGCCCATCTTGTTTCTAGTCCCCGCTCCTAACAGGCATGCCCTAAATGAAGCCATTTCATGCTTAAAATCTCCTGTGGCTTCCCAAAGTCCTGTGTCACTTGAGCTTTTGCTTAGTCCGGTTCTTTTCCGAACTGAACAGCCTCATTCACCTTTTGTGTCTCTGTTCTTACCCTGTTCTGCCAAATGGGCCAGTCCACAAGCAGGCCAGATGGACAAACCCAGAAAAGCTTCCTTACTCCGTTTTGACTTAGTGTTAACACATTGTGTGCAGTTGGGTGACTCACCAACTGCCAGTTAGGGTTAAGGGTTAAGGTCTGAATCATGGACAGGACTGGGATAAGAACAAGGGGTTATGGTGAGAATTCTAGTTAGATTTTTTTTGTCAACTTAAAGTTAGGTTCACCTAGGAAGAGGAAATTTCAATGGAGAAAATGCATCTATCAGATTGGCTCCCAAGCAAGTCTGTGGAGGTATTTTTTGATTAGTGATGTATGTGGCTTGCAAGCTGTGAGGACTAAACCAGAAAGCAGCGTTTTTTCATAGCCTCTTCATCAATTCCTGCCTTCATGTTCCTATATGGAGTTCTTGTCCTGACGTCCCTTCATGACGGCTACAAATACAAGCTGAGGCAAACCCTTTTGATGGCAAAAGTCACAAAATAACCCCACACTAGTTCATAATTATGAATAATAAAGGGTGTATTTAGGGGAGACTTACAGATCACTGTCCTAGACAACAGGCCTCTGGACAAACAGGGAACAGGAACAGAGTCTACCAGCTGGAAGCGAGAGTGACAAGCAAGAGAGCTTGTGCACGCTTTACAACTGCTTTTACAGTATAAGAGACCACGCCCAAGTGGGCTAGTATCTTAAAGGCTATTAGCTGAAGGAGCTAAACATACTCCCACAGCACCCTTTCCTGTCCAACTTGATTTTGGCCATGGTGTTTCATCAATAGAACAGAAATTGGTGCCAGGTTTGTGGGATGCTGTCGTGACAGACCTGACAGTGTTGTTTTGGGGAGAGCTGTAACTTTGGACTGGAAAAAGTGTTGGATGCTTAGAGTATAATGAGCTATTCTGGGAGAACTAGAGGGTAATCCTGAGAGCAGTGCAGATGATGGAGGTCTGACTTGTCAAGTTCACAGGGAAGCAAAGACTATCATGGCAGTTTATGTGCTATTGTGTATTAAGAATCAGTAGTTTATGGTCAATTGGAACTAAAGATCAGTTGTGATTAACGGGAGACCAGTAGCACCAAAGGCAAGCCTTTGCCTTGCTGGGATAATCAATAATGGTTACCTGGAGCTAAGATACTAGCAGTGAATAAGAAGAGACCAGCATCATTGAGGTCAAGTCTTCTGGGAGTATTCCCTCAGGATCAGCACATGGAAGCTGTGGTCCAGAGGGACCAAAGTTGCATCTCAAGCTGTTAGCTGATGTTGGTAATGTGTAAGAGTTACCCAGATAGTACCGGTTTTGAAGTCATGGAGGGATCACAGAGGCAGCTGAGGCTTGGTACTGTGAATGGCCAAGTGAGGCCACTGGGGAAAGTGTAGCTCAGTTGCAGCAAAGACCCCAGGAGTAAGTGATCATGCAGAGAAGCTGAAGTTTCAGGAGAGACCATTGGTGAAAGATTAGGGTTAAGATTAATGTTGGAGTTGCACAAGTACACACAGACACACACAGACACACACAGACACACACAGACACACACCTGCCTGTCAAACCAGTTTTCACAAAAATGCTGCACTGCTACAAACTGTCATTCCTCTGGCCCCAGAAGCTTCATTTCATCAAGACTCAGGAAGTCAGGTAGATTGACAATCAATATTCCTTCTTCCTTGGTATTAACTGACAAGTCTGCCCCACCAGGTCAAGAGAACACTCTTACAGTGTGAGGATGCATGCCACATTCATCTTTGCATACCACAGCATCTAGAGCCAATTTCTTGGGTGTTTTGTTTGGTTTGTTGTATAGCTAACCCTAACCCTACTTGTCTTAGTTAGGGTTTCCATTGCTGTGAGGAGCCACCATGACCACGGTAACTCTTATAAGGGAAAGTATTTCACTGAGGTGGTGGCTGACAGTTTCAGAGGCTTAGACCATTATCATCATGGCAGGGAGTGCAGCAGCTGGGAGTAAGGCAGGATGCAGGTGGGCGTGGTGCTGGAGAAGGAGATGAGAACTCTACGTCTTGATCCAAGACAACATCCACACAAGATGACCCTAAAGGAGTGGGGGTGGAGACCATCTACACAAGGTGCACGGAGCAGGCTCAACTGTGTGATACCTAACAAAGTCATTCTGAACCACTGGGCGTGGGTTGAGCATATGAGAACTCAAAGCCCGCCTCTAATGACACACTTCCTGCAACGAGACTACACCCACTCCAACAAAGCCACACCTCCTAATAGTGTAACTCTTTTTGGGGGCCGTTTTCTTTCAAACCGTCACACTGCTCCTTTAACACCCTAACACTAACTCCCCAAATCCTAACCACCACCCTAACTCCCTAACTCCTAAACCTCTAAACCTAACCCTAACCCTGTAACTCTCTTTTCTTTTTCCCAAGACAGGGTTTTTCTGTGTAGCCTTGGCTGTCCTGTAATTTGCTCTGTAGACCAGGCTGGTCCCAAACTCAGAGACCGGCCTGCATCTGCTTCCTGAGTGCTGGGATTAAAGGCATGCACCACCACTTCCCTTAGTTAACTCTAATTCATAAGCAGTAAATCCTAACCTTAATCCTAACATTAGCCTCTCACCCTAACCTTAAAACCTTATTTATTTATTTTGGTTTTTTGAGACAGGGTTTCTCTGTAGCTTTGGAGCCTGTCCTGGAACTAGCTCTTGTAGACCAGGCTGGTCTCAAACTCACAGAGATTTGCCTGCTTCTGACTCCTGAGTGCTGGGATTAAAGGCATGCAATACCACCTCCCAGCCCTAAAATCTTACTCTTTTAACCCTGTATTACCCTAACTCTTTTACCCCTAACCCAAGCCATGTCCTGGTCCTAACCCTCTAGCTCTAACTCTAAGCCCCTAACCCAGTCCTACACTCCTGCTTAGACCTCATTCCTAACCATGTTCCTAGCTCTCCAGTCTGAACAGAACATTCTCATAGTACATTTAGAAGAGAAGTAGATCCATCCAGGACCCTTTTCAAAGTCGTCACAGTGGCTTTATAGATTTCTTAATGGAAAGTGGTCTTTACAGTACAGGGGAGTCTTTGGGAACCCTGAATTATCTAATGGGTAGATAACTTGATTTCTTGTTTAGGCTCTAAACCAATAGGTAAAGATGAGAGAATGGAATAACAGACAATAAATTCTGAGTTACTTGAGAACTA